TATCAAGTTATATAAATCAAAGTGTCTATATAAGGCTATGTAATTAATAAATAATCTAAAAGAGATCATTTCTTATTAGTTTTTAACAAATATGAATGCAATAGAATATTTTTTATTTTGTAAAGTTGCTAAGATCCTTCTCTTTAATTCATTATTTATATAACTACACTTATGCAAACTTAGTACCCACCTAAAGGAGGAGTCAATAAGGGCTAAATAATCCCATTAAAAAGTAGCTGCCCCTTTGATTGTTAATGCAAATCTGAAGAAATAAGAAATTGGCATCATAAATCATGTTCTGAGTTGTGTTTCGTCAGTTAATATGGTGATATATTTTGTCAACATCACTTAAAAATATGTGATGGGTATTTAATTCAAGATGCTTCTTTTGAATGTAGTTCGGCTGGGAAAGGCAATACTTGGAAATAATATAGAGGAAATTTATAATTTTTTATGGCATTAGTCTTATGTATTAAAGCTGCTGAAATTTCACTTGATTCAAATAATGAATTAATCAATTTTACTACTAGTTTACAAAAAGAAGCATTCTAGAGACGGAATTAATGATTTTTAAACAATTTATAATCAAATAGTGAATTCAAATAATTATTATAAGTAGTTAACATATTATTACTAATTATGTGTAATCTAATTACAATAATGATAATATCTATTTGTATTTTTTTGTTTAATAATTGGATAAAAAGAATCAATACTAACTAAGATATTGTCTAACATTAATTTAATTTAAATCTATGAAATTGATTTATTATTATGAATTATAAATTGAAAATATTTCTATCAACTTGTAAATTAAATAAACTATAATAGAATATGAAAAATAAATTTAATTTAAATAATTTAATATATTCATACATTATTGTATTAAATATGATAAGGTTTTTAAATAAATTTGTATTATTAAATCAAAAACAATCATATTTAATAATAAAGCAGATGACATATTGCATAATGAATATGCTATGAAGGAATTTGGAATCTGTAGTATGAAAGTGTGAAGAAAATTTTGTATTGGGAAATCATTAAAGATAATAATACAAGTAGGTCAACTATATAGTTGATTCTAAAGATATATCTTGATTACTTTTAAATAAGTGTCAAAAAAACTGAAATAAGTTTCTAAACAATTTATAGTTAATCGATGATAGATCGAATCGAAGCATTCCATAATCGTTGCTTTTTGCAAAGTGACATTAAACCTGATAAATTTTTACT